TGGCAGGCTACAGGATGGATGGCAGACAGATGGATGGATAGACTGGCCCCTAAATCCCAGGCCCTCTGGCTCATGACTAGCGCTGTTTAGAAGAAGAAATCCAGGAGAAGCCCACTTGGCAATAGCAGGCATTAACATCAGCAGCAATGACTGAGGGTATCAGGGAGAAAGCTGGCCTAGGAATCCACAACCCCACTCCTGATCCAGCCTACCCCCCACTGCTGTGTGACCGTGAGCCAGTCACCTGGCCTTTCTGAGCCCCAGTTTGCTCCTCTCCCCAAGATGGGCCCACACCCGTCCAGACCTCCACACAAGTCACTGTGGGCTCGGGGAGCCCAGCATCAGGGAAAAGGCTCTGAGAACAGCAGCTGCTGTGTAATAAACCAGTCCCATTTGTCACGATCATGGTTACGAGTGCAGACCCTGGTGCCAGGCTACTGAGATGAAACCCCAGAGCCCCCTCCAAACAACTCTGTGGCCTTAGGTCTTATCAGGGTTCTTCATCTGAGACATTGGGATAATCACAGCACCTCCCTCACTGCACTGTGCTGAAGAATAAATGAGTTTATTTTTGTAAAGCTCTCACAACAAAGGTCTGCAAAGAGGACATTCCATACATGGGTTAGCTTTTCACTTGCTCTGATTACTGAAACCAACCTGGCATCGCCGTCCCCCACCACACACTCTCCACCCCACCTGTGAATTCAACAGGACTTGTTCCACAGAACATTTCAAGTCCTGGTTTGGGGGCTGGCCTGCGGAGAAGAAGCAGTGCCCACACAGCTCTCCCCCTACCCAGGTCTCCTGGGTGCCAGCCTTTGGATGCAGAAGGGCTCAGATCTGGCCCACTTCGGTGGCCACTGCACTTGGCCATCACCCTCGGGAAATTCTTTGGACTTTTATTTTTCCGAAGTTGAGAAGAGCTGTCTCAGCCCTTTCCAAGGATCAGGAGCATCCATGACAAGCACACCCTCAGCCCTCTCCAGCCCGCCCCCAGCAGTGGACCCCACAGGAGGGAGGTGACCCTAGGACCCTTCTCCTCAAGACCTTGGGCAACATCTGTTGAGTAAGACGAAAATATGGGTTGAAGATTAAGCCACTCTGCCCTGGTTGGCCTGGCACAGGCTGGAAAATGTTTGACTGGCAGGGCCCTGAAGCTGGCAGAGATCCTGGGCCCAAGGATGAGTGGTCCCGATCCTGGGGAAGGGGTGTGGGGGTTGAACTGAAGTGAGATGGGTGAGAAGGCCAGACGGAGAGCTGGGGGCATGGAGAAAACTCAACAAAAAGACAAACACACAGTGCGAGGCAAGAGGGAGGGGTCGGGGAGCCCAGAGACCAGCCCTGCAGAGGCTGAAGGGCAGGCATCGAAGGGAAAAGGAAGGAAAAATACGACCCGCCCTTTCCTCCCTCCTCTGAACCTGCTCAAAGCACTTGCCTGCCTGCCTGCCGTGAGGAAACAGGTGTTGAGTGCTCTCTAGGGGAAGCCAAACTTTCTCCCGGCTTCCCTTGGGCCACTTTCCCTCCCCAGGGACAGTATCAGAGTTTCCAGCTGGAGACTGCCCCCCCCCAATAGACCCCCATGGCCCAAGAGCAAAGAATCAGAGGACAACAGTCCTGTTTATTGAACACCTAATCTGCGCTGAGCATCTGGCTGAATGCCTTTCTTCCAGCCACTCAATAAGCATGCATTGAGTACCTACTATGTGTCAGATAGTGGGAATACAGCAGTGAACATAGAGGATAGAAACCCCTTGTCATCATAGAGTTTACAGGCTGGTGTGGTGGGAGGCTTTTTTATTTATTTATTTATTTATTTTTAATTGAAGGATAATTGCTTTACAGTATTGTGTTGGTTTCTACCAAACATCAACACAAATCAGCCATTGGTTTACCCATGTCCCCTCCCACTTGAACATCCCTCCCACCTCCCTCCCCATCCCACCCCTCTGGGTTGTTACTGAGCCCCGTTGGAGTTCCCTGAGTCATACAGTCATTCCCACTGGCTGTCTATTTTGCATATTGTAATGTATGCTTTCATGTTGGTGGGAGCCTTTTAAAGGAGATCAGCAAGTAAGATGGTCACACACGCTAAGGGGCAAAGAAAGCAGGGAAGGGAGAGAGGATTGCTGGGGGACGGAAAACCTGACACTTGAGTAAAGAGCTCAAGGAGGGAAAGAGCCTGGCAGGTATCCTTGGGAAAAGCTCAGCAAGTGCAAAGGCCCTGAGGCGGTATCTGGCTGATGTTCAAGGACCAGCAAGAAGGCCAGGTAGTCACAGCAGACTGAGAGAAGGAGGGAGCTTTTAGGAGATGAGGTGAGAAAGGAAATCTACCCATTGTTGTAGGCCTGTGTAGACCAGTGGAAGAACCTGGGCCTTTAATCTCAGGGGTGAGCAGCCATTGGAGGCTTTGAATACAGACTGATTCGGTGAGGTTTATTCTCTTCACAGCCTTATAAGGTAGGTACTGTTACTAACTCCCAACCCGCAGAGGAGGAACTGAGGTCCAGAGAGGTTAACCAATGTGTCCATGGCCACAGACCCAGGCCCTGGGGCACTCCCTCATTCTTGATCATTCCTGGGGGGAGGCAGGCAGGTCCTGACTCAGGTGGGGAAATCTTCGGTGTCACAATCACTCCCCCACCAGATGGCTCATGCAACGTCCACAAGGGTCAGAGCCCCTCTGCCCAGGGCGGGCACATTACAGACGGGAACATTCCACAGCCTGGCCCGGGCAGAAGTCCCTTCTGCTGCCGTGCTGTGCTGTGAAAGTAGCTTCGGTCATGTCTGACTCTTTGTGACCCTGTGGGCTGTAGCCAGCCAGGCTCCTCTGTCCATGGGATTCTCCAGGCAAGAATACTGGAGTGGGTTGCCATGCCCTCCTCCAGGGGATCTTCCAGACCCAGGGTTTGAACCCACGCCTCTTTATATCTCCTGCACTGGCAGATGGGTGCTCTACCACTAGCGCCACCTGGGAAGCTCATCCCTTCTGGTATCTAACTGCAATTCCTCCAGTCAGAACGCCAACCTATTCCCTTCGGTTCCAATCCCTGACCCCTCCTCATGTAAACAAAGCTCACGAGACTCTCTGAGGTCAAGCATCTGGCTCCTGACTGGAGAGCCCTAGACCCCAGAGCCCCCCAGCTATCCTCGACCAGCCAAGAACATTCTGTTCTCAGCGGCCAAGTAGCAGTTGGGTTGAAATGCTGAGACGTGGGCTCCTTCCTCTCCACCCCTCCCTGCCTGCCCTCCATGGCATCCTTCCGCAATCCCAGAAAGAGTTCTTGCTGGCAATTCCAAACCAGGCCTGCACTCTGGCCTCATCCCCACAGTATTCGACCCCTAAGCCCTGCTGTTGTCAGATGACCTTTGACTGAGCTCTGTGCAAAGAATACTCCACATCTGGAGATGCACAGCTGGGCAGAGATGAGGCCCAAAAGCATTTGAGCCCAGTGAGTTTAGGAAGGAGGGGCCAATGAGAGGAAAGGATATGGAATGCCTGACCTCTGGGAGTCTTGTGAGCTTTGTTTATGTGAGGAGGGGTCACAGGTTGGAACAGAAGGGAACAGGCTGGCATTCCAGCTGGAGGAACTGCAGTTAGATACCAGAAGGGACTCCTGCCTGAGCCAGGTTGTGGAATGTTCCAGTATCCAGGCTGAGCAGGTCATGGCAGGGCTTAGACCAGGAGGGCAGAAGGCAGTGACCCTGCTCTGCGTCCAAGAGACATCTAAGAGTCATAATCACTTCTGCATACCTTTTTTCTTTTTTTGCATGTTTTATTTCATTCCACCAATGACCCTGAATAGAGAGGGGAAGGATGGGAGGCGGATATGTATCAGAACTGAGAAGGCCTTTGGAGCATCAAGTGCAGCCCCCTTCTTTGTCAAAAAGGGAAACTGAGGTCCAGAAAGAGGGCAGGACCGGCCCACTGTCACACAGCACGTGGGTGTCAGAAGAGAAAAGACCAGGAAACCCGAGTGAGATGCCAGCATCCAGGCTGAGCAAGTCATGTGCAGACACCTCCAACTGCCTGGGCCCCACTGGGCCCTTGCCTACTCCAGTCTCCAGGGCCCCCGCCTGCCTCCTGTGCTGGGCTGGGAAGCAGGAGGGAGCTCTGAAGGGTAAGAAGACAGAGAGACGGCAGGGAGGGAAACATTCCAAATCAGCCCAGCTGGGATGGGTCTGGAGCAGGCCCCTCTCCCCAGCCCATAACTCACAGGAGTCCTGCCCCATCCACACTTTTCTGGAAGCCTGACTGGAGGAAAGACGGAGCAGTGCGGGTGGGGGAAATGGAGAGAGGGCTGAAAAGCAGAGTCAGCTAAAGAGCCTGGAGATGGAGCAGGCCACCTGAATGTGACTAATTTCCCAGATACCTGGACTCTGTGGGTCATGCCATCCATCTCCCCACCTCCAGCCAAATGGGACCTGACCAGGGACCAGGCAGGTCAAAGGAGATGCCATCCCCCCGTTCTGTAAGCCCCAAGACAACAGGCACCTGACCAGGCCTAGAGACAGGCGAGATGCCCTTTTATGGGCTTTTCCAAGGACTTAAGTCTCAAGATTGAAATAAGAGGCCCCAAGTCTCATGAAGTCACAAAGGGACCTCATGACTCATTTCCTCCTAGTTGGGCTTCAGCTTCAGGACATGGCCCCTTCCGCCTCATTACCTAATGGCCCAGCACCCGTGGGGGCTACCAGGATGCTTGGGGGCTTCCCCAGTGGCTCAGCGGTAACGAATCTGCCTACAATGCAGAACACACGTGAGACGTGAGTTCGATCCCTGGGTCTGGAAGATCCCCTGGAGAAGGGAATGGCAACCCACTCCGGTATTCTTGCCTGGGAAATCCCATGGACAGAGGAGCCTGGAGGGCTACAGTCCATGGGGTCGCAGAGTTGGACATGACTGAAGCGACTGAGCAAGCACACAGGCAAAGTAAGCTGCAGCAGGAACTGAGGAAAGAGAGGAGGGTGGGCTGGCGGGGCAGGAATGGACTGTCACTCACCACCAGTTCATGGCTGGATGGAGGAATGCAGGGGGCAGCCACCTGTGGGAGGAACAGAGAAAGGGCCAGGTTAGCATCTTTCATCCCCATAGAAACCCAGGGCCTCCTGAGATCATTTTGCTCCCCCACCAGCCCGTGCTAGACACCCCTCCCTTCAGTTCACAAACACTGACACCCTCCAGGAGGAGAGTTCATTGGAAGACTGTGTAGCAACACGTGAAAATGCCTAGGCAACAGTGCTCAGATGCAGAGGCAAAAATGAAATGGACACATTCTTAAAATTCTGTAAAAAGAAATATGCAGAAAGACCAGAGGTCAAAGCACCAGGGTTAAGGTAATAAGAATAAGATGTTTTGTGTTTTTTTTTCCTTTTGCGTTATGTTCTGAATTTTCTGCAATATGGTAAGATTTTTTTTTTAAACCATGTTTAAGACCTCTAGGAAAGGAAAAGTCACCTCCTCCATTCTCCCAAATGCCAAGGTGTCTCACTCAAAGGTCAGAGCTGCAGAAGGCTGGCCAAGCTTCCCACACCATGTGGGGAAATGGCCTGGGGAAGGGCCTGTCGGCTCTTCCAAAAGAAACCAGCCACTCTGCTAACACATGTGAAAGGTCTTGAGGGTGCAAACACTCTCCGAGGATGAGCTATTATTTTGTCATCATCCTCATCTTCTCCTCTGATGAGGGAGGGGGTGGCCCCATGGCCTCGAGTCAGAGGGAGATGGGCGGAGAGAGGGGGCTGGATTGCTCCCTACCCTGAGATCACACTCCCCTCCCAGGGGCCCGGCAGCCAAACCACTACCCTGACAATTAGCAGAGGCCTTTATCAGAGACTCGGGGTGTTCCTTTTTTTCTAGCCAGGACACGTTTTTCTTGGAGCTCATACCTCAACCTTGGCTCCAATTCCTGACCTGAACACCATGCAGGGGCCCACAGAGGGGACGGAGGGGGAAGCTCTCCCCACCTCCCCCAGCCCCAGGCATGAGGATGTCTGGACATAAGCCGTGGATCACCAAAGAGCAGGTGGCTACCTTCTCCAACAGTGGGTGATCCAGCCCCCCACTCTATAAGAGCAGTGACAGCCCCCAGCCCCAGTCGGAGCTGGCTGTTCACAGAGGCGTCACCCTCAGCTGAGCCCTTCTGTCCCCTGACCCTATTCTATCATCTGACCAGCTCCAGGGACCACCTGGCTTGACATGTCAGCTCAGAAGGGGTCCATACTTATGGAACCATGTGCCCCGGGCTCTGGCAGAGGTGGAGGGGCTGAGAGTTGGCATCCCTGCGTTCTTGACTCCGTCATGCTGCAGGCTCCCTGCCAACTCATTCTCCAGAAAAGTGACCTGAGTTGAGTCTCAGTACCTATCACCCTTGGAGGAGAGCATGGCAGCCCACTGCAGTATTCATGCTGGGAGAATTCCATGGACAGAGGAGCCTGGTGAGTTATCATTCATAAGTTTCACAAAGAGTCAGACATGACTGAAGCGACTTAGCACAGCACACACACCTACCACCCTGTACTTGACATTGCTCTAGGACTTGGGAGAATCATATATGAAGCCAAAACAAGGAATAATAACTATATTGAATGTGTACTATCAATATATAGCAGGCATTATTATCAATACCTTGAAAGTGTTAGTCACTCAGTCATGTCCGACTCTTTACAACCCAGTGGACTGTAGATCACCTGGTTCCTCTGACCATGGGGATTCTCCATGCAAGGATATTGGAGTGGATTGTCATGCCATCCTCCAGGGGATCTTCCCAACCCAGGGATCAAACCCAGGTCTCGTGCATTGCAGGCAGATTCTTTACCATCTGGGCCACCAGGGCCATTATCACCATTATCAGTGCCTTACCCATATTAACCCATGTAATCCTTTCAACAACAGTAAGGTAGGTCCTATCATACCTCCAGACGAGGTACAGGGGGCACAGAGAAATTAAACAACTTTCCCAAGGTCACACAGCTGATCAGTGACCAGGGGTGGGGTGGAGGATGCAGGAAAACAGGGCAGAAGGGCAGGAAAGTCTGGAGGTGAAAGTCAGGACATCCTTCTCATCAGACAAGGTCTCAGTCACTGCTGTCCCCTAGGAACCTTCAGAGCAGGAGTCCAGCATCTAGCAGTGACCTCCTCCCTGTCTCCTTCCACCCCCAGCCCCAAATCCCACTCTGGCGCTTGTAGGTTTCAACCTCCTGGGGCCAGGCCCTCCTGTCCCACTCCTCCTAACACCCTTGGGCCCTCAGGCCCGAGTGGGAGTGGGTCAACCCACAGATCAGCACCCTGCTCTGCTCCTTCTCTCGGAGCTAGAGCTGGAACAGGGCTGAGACCCTAAATGTGGAATCAGATGCAAGAGGAGAGGATGCTGCCGGCTAGTGCCACGCCTCCCAGCCACAGGCAAGTCCTATCCACCACCGCTGTCTTCCCCTGCAGTACCCGACAGTCCATTCGGGACTGGGGGTTAGGGAAGTGAGGGGGGTTACGGACACATACTGAGGCAAAGGCAGGATGGACAGGTGTCCTCTGAGACAAAAGGGAGAGCCTCTTCTCTAGGACCACCCTAAAGTACTAGTCACTCAATCGTGTCTGACTCCTTGCAACCCCCTGGACTACAGCCCACCAGGCTCCTATGTCCATGGGATTCTCCAGGCAAGAATACTGGAGTGGGTTGCCATTCCCTTCTCCAAGTACCACCCTGAAGCAATGGGGAACCTCGGAACCTGACCCCAGGTCCCATCCTTGTCCTCTCTGAGGACTTAGATCTGCACTGTGGACCCCCAGTTTGCGGGCCTGATGCCGGGGTGCCCCTTCGTGGCCTGCTGCCCCCCAGGGCCTCCTCCACCCACCGCCCACAGCTGCACATTCCAGGCCAGCCCGCCAGCCAGCCCACTAACTTTGTTGTGTGTTTCAATGTTTCTTGTCTCTCTATTTTTTTTTTTTAAAGCAGAGAAATGTTTCCTTAAAAGGCTCTCTCCTTCCCTCCGGCACCCTGGCTCCTGGCCACCCCCTCAGGAGCCTGGAATGTGCCAGGGAGGGCCAGAGCCCCTTGCCACTCTGGCCCGGGCCCTGCAGCCCCGCACTCCTGGTGTCCGCAGCAACGACTCCCACTGGCCCCTGGGGACCCCAGCTAGGAGCCCTCCCTCTGCAAAGAGGGCAGACACGGGGGTGCCGGTCATTTGTCTCCCCAGGGCTGGCAGGAAAGGATTCCAGGGCTCAGGCCTGGGAATTCGGCCTCAGGTAAGCCTTCTCCCCGGGTCTCCCTCCAGGATCCTTCCTCACACAGAGGGTGTGAGCTGGTGGGCCTGAGGCTCAGCCTTTCCATTCTGAAAACTGTAACAATACTAAAAGTAGCAGCAGCAGCAAATACTCCCATCAAACTTGCTACCGGCCAGGCACTCTGCTTTGTATCTGGCGTGAGATAACTCACTCCATTCCCACAACCCTGAGCATCCCATTTTGTGGCTGAGAAGACCAAGGCACAGAAGTCAATCAAGTGTACAACAGAGAAGGCAGGACGCAAGCCCAGCCTTCTGGCTGTAGACAAGGAGTTGGCCTGGCCGTCCCTGCCATGCCGACTCTCCTCTAAAGACGAGTTTCCCCAGAGCCCTACACAACGACAGCAGAAACAGAAAGCTTATGGGATGTGCCTGTGTATCTGTTGCTGTCCTAAGCCCTTTCCCTGGACTCATTTGATCCTAATAAAAATGCAGACTTTGGACACAGTAGGAAAGGAGAGGGTGGGACGAATTGAGACAGCAGCGTTGACATATATACACTCTCATGTGTAAAATAGAGAGCCAGCGGGAAGCTGCTATATGGGCACAGAGCGCTCAACCTGTGCTCTGAGGTGACCTAGAGGGGTGGGATGGGGTGGGATGGGGTGGGATGGGGTGGGATGGGGTGGGAGGGAAGGGACATATGTGTACTTGTGACTGATTCACGTTGTTTTATGGTGGAGGCCAACACAATATTGCAAAGCAATGATCCTCCAATTTTAAAAAGTTTCTTTAAAGTTCACAGGGGAAAAGATGCATGAGTTATCCTGTTTTACCCCCATTTCACAGATTCAGAAACTAAGGCACAGCAAAGGTAACAACTTGCCCAAGGCCACTGCACCAGAACAATGCAGCTCTGGAGGTAGAAAGGCAGGAACGCTGCCAGGATGTATGCGTTACCAGGCCCCATAGCCTGGCACTGGGGGCCAAAGCCTGGCATTCATCAGCCCTCCACCCACTAATATTTTCTGAACTTCAGAGGTCCCCGGGAACAGTGCCAACAACAGGACACAGCCTTGGAGACTCCCCCCAGGACAGGAGAGTCCTGAGAGCAGGCAGCCCAGTCAGGGGGCACCCTGCACAACCCGTCCCCTGGCCTGTTCCCCAGTGTCTCTCTGTGTCCATCCCCCTTGTCCAGGACCCAAGGCCACACCCAAGGGGTGGGCTCCTCTCAGTCCTCGGGACACACTTAGCTCTGTTCTTCCTCAGGGCCTCTGAGTATGCGGTTTCCTTGCCCAGATGTTCTTAGCCCAGCTGCCTGCACAGCTGGGTCCTTCCTATTCTTCTGTCTTTGGCTTAAATGCTACCACCCTAGAGAGAAGCCCTCCCTGACTCCCTTAAGTTACACACACACAGCTATTCTCTCTCCTGAATTCCTATCTCTCCTTCACAGTCCTAAATACAATGTGTAATTATAGATGTATTTATTTCCTTGTCTATAATCTGCTACTCAATAGAGAAATCAAGTGCCCTAAAGGAAAGGAGCATGCCTTGTTCATCATGCTAGTCCCAGCACACAGTAGGCACACATGAAAGATTTGTGTAAAGATGAAAGCAACTCAAGGCCCAAGGACAGGAGGCACCAGTCACCACTGCTAGCGATAGGATCACTGCCATCTGTTAGGCTCCTACTCAAGGGAGCTAATTCTACCATATGCCTGTTTTGCCTCTGAGACCCTCCAATCCTGCAGAGTTGGTATTACTGCTCTCATTTTACAGATGAAGAAACTGAGGCTTGAAGAGATCATAACAGAGTCAACCAGCTGGA